GTGGACCCCCTCAGGGTGGAGGAGGTGTTTTCACCCAGCAGAGCTGAGGTTCTACTGCCTCCTGTCCCTGGGGAGCAACTTGAGTTACCAGGGCAACAGGCTAAAATAAATCTTGTCTGGGTAGAGCCAAGGGCAGTGTTGTTGCCAGGGCAACTGATTAGGTCCGTTATTTGGCTCCAGGCTTTTCCTGGTACCCAGCAGGCTAAATCACCTGGCATTGATTACCAACCCACTCGACCACGGTTGCTTGCCTGGAATCCAGGCACTCAGATTCCTGCTGCTTCCTGCTTTATCTTTAGCTAGAGCTAGGGGTTCAATGACACGAGGCAGTCTGGAGCTGGTCCCTGTCACTGCTGCTGTGATTGCACATGGGCCAGGGGCCTGCAAGGTGGCCTGACTGGTGGGGAGCGGGAAGGAGTAGATATGAAGAGACCCTCCTGCGGGTAACTTCAAATCAAACCTGGGGAGTAAGGCTCCAGGCTGGGAGCACAGCAGGTACATGGGCCATGGGGGTGCCCTGCTCCTCGAGGCAGCACCAAGGCTAGGAAGGAGACGGGCCTGCAGATGTCTTTTGTGTCCCTGCCACTTTGCACATGGTGCATATGTCAAGCCCACACTGGAGGCTATGGCTTTGAACACTCTCTTGTTTTGGTGGCCACTTCAGGATCTATCACATACCTGCTTCTCTCTGGCAACACCCATCAGTGCACTACCTGAGCTGCCAGCACCTCTCCCAGGCTTTGGTTGACCCGGAGGCACCTGGAGCAGGCCCTGGGCGCTGCCTGCCTGTTGGCCAGATGCCCAACCTCACGATGCCAGGTGGTGCCCTGCATCACACTGTCACCATGACCCTTAAGGGATGTTCGAGGATCCTAGCCTCCTTGCACATAACACCACTAGCTTCTCCAGTACTTCAGCTTGTAGGTGGGCCCCTTCCTCCCAGGCCTGGGAAGTGGAGAATTGTGGATGGGAAGCCCAGCTCTCCCTCCTCAGGCTTTTCTGGCCCTCCGACTAGTCTGAGAAGAACCAGGTTGCTGAGCTTCAGTACTTGTTACATCTCCTTCCTCACCTGGAGACACCCGGGGCTCCTCCCTAAATACTATCTTCAACAGGGGCCACAGTTGCCCTCTTCTCCCAAACCCTCAGCTCCCCACTTCAGGTACCCTACTTGCCATGACAGTGGTATCTGAAGGTCCTGTAAGGCCCCCACCCATGTGTCAGCTGCCGGTTTGTCTTGCAGAGCGTAGATGGACCAGCTCCATCACCCTCAATGGGAGTGGGTGGTCCTTGGAAGGATCAGAAGTGGGATGTAAACATGTCTGAATCCCAACCCCATCTCAAACCTCTCAAGGTGCACGGGCAAAAGATACCTCCACCAGAAAGTCTGTTACTTCTGTGACCAGAGCCTTCAGCTGGCCTGGGCAGTGGAATTTTTGAATGGTGGTGGTGAGGAGGGGCTGAGGGCAATCGTGCAGCGAGAAGGAAGCGCCCCTGAGAAATAGTCTCTCCCTCCAAAGGATCTCCTTCAGTGGCCATCTGTCTGGGATGCTGGTGGGTAAGGTCTGTGCACAGGGAATGATCCAGAATTAACTTATCCCAAGACACCGCCTATCGCCCCAACCCCGCAAAGAAACTGAGCCTCTAGCTCCTCTGAAATCGGCATAGCCCAGCGCTTGGCCGCCCTGGCTCCTAGGATTACATGGGCAGGAACAGAACCGTTCCTCGGTGGGCAGGGGGTACACTAGAGTGGAGAGTGGCGGGAGCCGGAAGTGGGTGCTGCTGAAAGGTGGCCAGGTTTAGCGACCCCCTAATCTCCAGGACTGCGGACTCCACCGCCCCGCGCGGTCACCACAGACGTAGCTCCATTCACACTTGCCTCACATCGTTGCTTTCTCGGCAGAGACGCCCGCCACCCCTGCGAAAGCCCACTCCGAGGGCGTGGGTAGGGTGAGGTGGAGGCCTTCCTGGACTTTCTAACTCAAACTCCATTTCCACCCCTGGCGTCCAGCTCCGGGGCGCTCTAGGGTTAACCTCGCGGGGGTGGGGACTTCGGCAAGGCCCGCGTTGGGAGGGAGGGCAGAGGAGGCGACAGGAGGCGCGGTCGAGCGAGCCTGGGAGGCCGTCGGAGCCCCGGGTGTCTCAGAATCCCGAGCAGCCACTGGGGCACACGCTGCGTGCAGATTCTCTGCCCCAAACTTCACGTCGGGAGCGGGGAAGAGGCGCTGGGCATCAAGACGGGTGGCGGCGGTCAGGACGCTGCCCTCCTCCCCGGGGACCGCTACTTCTACCCCACCTCCTCTAGCCTCTTCCAGCCGTCTCAGACCCACCCCCCTCGCTTGACTGCGTTTAGCCCGGGATGAAGCCCGAAGGCAGTGGCCCCACGACGACCCCGGAGTCCCGGTTGGCCGAGCTGGCTCTGGATCCGCCGCCATCCTGGACCTGCCCGCCCGATGTGCGGCTCTGCGGCCACCTGCGGAAGCAGAAGTCCCAGCGCCGCCGCTTCTTCGTGCTCCGGACTGACCCGCCGCGCCTCGAGTGTTACGAGACAGAGAAGTTGTTCCACACGGGCCGCCGGCCGCCCAAGCTCAGCGTGAGCCTGGCGGGCGCGTGCACCATCAGCAAGCGCGTGGACGCGCGCCGG